ATATATATACATATAAACGAAAAATAATTTTTTTCATACAAATAAATTTATTTAATTGAATTTGTTAAATTTTCAACATACAGATTATATACAAAAAACTTTATTAAAACCAAAATTTTTGAAAAGTTTACTTTTTTTTTAAATACATACATTTGGTAGATACATGTTTCTCTCTTATATGCGAGCGAAATCACGCGAATGTTTCTCTCTTTCGTTTGATCCTTCTTTACGCGATTATTTTAGTGAATGTGACGTTCTATGGAGCCGAGGTATGGATGCCGAAGGTCTCATGGATACCGAACACGCATTATTCTGGCCTTTATGGTCTCTTGAAGTTGATACTGCCGAACGCGATGGGAGAGGACAAAGTACTCGTATTGGATACGGACGTGACCATCATGAGCGATGTGTACTCATTGTGGAAAATGTTCGAGAACTTCTCGGCCGTTCAAACCCTAGGATTGATCGAAAATCAGAGCAATTGGTATGTAAAGGCGTTGTCGTACGGTCAACGGCCATGGCCAGCTTTAGGTCGAGGATTTAATACTGGCGTTATGCTGATGCATCTACGGCGATTGCGCGACAGAAAATTTGCGAGCTCATGGGAGAGCGTTACCAGGCGCGTGTTAGAATATATACCAGAGACTAGCCTAGCTGATCAAGACGTGATAAACGCGGTGATCAATGAGCAACCAAATATCGTATATAAGATAGAGTGTACCTGGAATATACAGTTAAGCGATCACACGATAAGTGATATGTGTTATCGCGATACCAATCGTATAAACGTACGTTTCTGTCAATAACTTCTTCGTTCAGAATAGAGGATGGAAATCGATCGACTTGATCAGGAGCATCGTTTACTTTTAGATCCTCCATTGGAATTCCCCGCGAAAGCAGGATGTTCACAATAAGCACGTTAATGAGTTTCGAAAACTGCACCGAGTCTTTCTCGAGATGGATGGCAATCTATTGCGAAAACGTTTATTCGGTTGTGACAAGCACGAGAGTGTACTTCCAGTGAGTTGAGAGTCCAAAATATCCTGATATTTTTTAATTTAAATTTATTTATTGTGACTATATATATATATATGATTTTTACCGCGCGCACGCATATTTTAGTACAACGAATCAAGTCCGTGTCGAGAATTCGAGAAAGGTGCTGCTATTTTATATCGCACGTATCCCTTTTTATTGGAATACGAATACAACGTGCACTCGTCGACAGATGTTGCTTTAGTCACACAGTGTAGTGTCGAAAGGATACCGCTATTGGAAACACTGGCAAAACACTGGCCGGGGACTATAAGCGTCGCGCTTTACTTGACTGATGCGGAGGTTCAGTATTTTTTGAACTTCGTGCGAGGTTCCATAGATTTAAGAACGAGAAGGAACATCGCCTATCACGTCGTGTACAAAGACGGGGTGCGTTGTGCAGTATCTTTAATTTTAAAAAAGCTAAAGGCAAATAAATTTATTGCTTAAACTCGCAGTAAAACAGACGCGACTTTTTTCAGCGTTATTAAAGCAAATTGAATTACTTTTTTAAAGTATGATAAATACTAAAAATTAAAACGGCTCTTTATATAAAGCTGTATTCCTTATTAGCATTAAATGTAATATGATTTGTGCATAGCGATTATGCCTAGAGATGAAAGAGAAAATTTAATTATTTATTGCAATATATTTCTCAATAAAAATCCTCTTTTTTCATTTGTGAAATTATTACTTTTTGATCAGGATTTGTACCCTATTAATTACTTAAGGAATATTGCGATATCGTACGTATCGACTCCGTTCATCTTTCAACTCGATGTTGACTTTTTACCGCAATTTGGACTGTATGAAAATCTGATGAACAATATAAATCGATTAAATATCAATGAATCGGATAAAATAGCTCTGATCGTACCAGCATTCGAAACTGAGCGTTATAGGTAATTCTTCATCATCTTAATATAGAATTAGATTGTTTTATAAACGGAATCACTTTTCTTTTTCTCTCTTCTCTTATAGATTTACATTCCCTACTAATAAGGAAGAATTGCTGAAATTTCTCAAACGCGGTATTTTGTACACGTTTCGCTATCATGTCTGGACACAAGGACACGCTGCGACAAATTATAGCTTGTGGCGAAATAGTATGGAACCTTATGAAGTGCGTGTGAAATCCATATAATTAAAAGATGTGTATCGGTAACATTGTGGATTCTGGGGAATACTTTATATATTATTAAATATATTAATAATTATATATATAATAAACGCGTATGCATGCAAGAAATAGATGAATAGAAATAGAAGTATATATAATGAATGAACTATTGCAGATATCATGGGAGCCGGATTTCGAACCTTATATAGTCGTTCCGAAATCCGCTCCGCGATATGATACAAGATTTGTCGGATTTGGTTGGAATAAAGTTTCCTATGTGACCCATTTAACTGCGTTAAATTATAAGTAAGCCGCAATAACTCTATTCGTTCAAATAGTGTAATATGTACCCGAATAATTAATGTAGTGCATATTTAAATTGAAAATTGAAAATTATAGGTACATAGTTTTACCAGACACCTTTATTATCCATCGACCTCATGCTCCTAGCTTAGACATCGGTAAATTTAGGACAGATTCCGTTTATAGAAGGTAATGCATATACCGTATTTCAGAGAAATTTGATAGAATTTAATAAAATGAGACAGCTAAATGTATATTCGCTATTCAACGATCGATTGGATTTATATTTTATTTTACAGATGTCTTAAAAAATTGAAGGATAAATTTGTTCAAGAATTGATGGCGAAATATGGCGAGAGTGCATTATTGAAACTAAAGAAAGAGACCAAAGAAGAGAAAGTTTAAGAGAGATATTATAAAATATTAATATTTTCTACTTTAAAAAAGACATAATTAAATGATAAGAAATAAAAACATGTTATATTTTCATCGATTATGAAAAATATATGTATGTGTAATTATTTTCTTAATAAAAATATATATAAATCCTTTTAAATGAAACGCCTCGCACTCATTTATTTATTAATTACAAATAACAGCAATAAAAATGTTTAAAATAAAAATGGCGAATGAAAGAAAAATATATCAGATTATTTGGGATTGGGAAATATTTATTAAAATTTAATCCATATATTTAGTGGAGTGTACAGAGTGGTGCTTTTAGTACATATTATTGTAATATATATTACAATCACACTAAATGTTTCATTTATAAAATATGTATAATATTTACAGCGCCACAGTATGTTAATACATTGAACATACAAATCATACTTGGCCGAAATTTTATACTGAACCACTGTAAATTCAAACGTTCGTTACGAGGTAAGGTATCCTTTTCATAAATAATTACAGTAATGACGACAATAAAATAACGACGGCGTTAGTATATATAACTGCGTAATGGCGTAAATATAATAATCGTAACCATATCTAAAAAATATAGCGTTTTTAAAAAAATAGTAATAGTAATAAAGCAATAATGATAATAATAATAATACAAATAGTAAGAATATTAATAGGAATAACGGTAAAAATATTCCGTTAACAATTGTGAAGTTTTCCCTCGCGCGCGCGATCGTCGATACTTCTAACTCTCCATGTAGAATCTGGCAGAAATGCGGATGTGTGTGTGTATGTATATTACATTTCAGAGAGATTATTATCTACCACATGACACGCAAATATAAATCATTTACATTCACATTATCATTGTAACTCTTATCTTGACAGACATTTTTTTTCAATCTTCTCCTATCTCTCCCATAATCTCACATTACTTTCGTTATGCGAGATAGGAAACTGTGTTAATGAAATATTATTTTCCTTTTTGATTCATGATTCATGATAATTCTTAGAGAAATGTACATACTCAGTGAGTATGGGCCAGTCAGATGCAATTCTTATGTGACATTATAATTCAACATGTCTTAACAAAATTATTATACACGTATATTGGAAACGTATTTTGCGTTTCGCACGCTTTGTATACTCCAAATATGCATGTTATATTTATCTCTCATCGAGATTTAGCGCCATTGGGTATAGCAGTTAGGCAGTTTCAACAATCATTCATGCATAATGAAAAAAACTTAGAAACTAAGTAACGATCGCGTTTTGTAACGAGTCGTTATAGAAGTAAACGAACACAGTTTGAGAGTCCATTCGAGTCTCAATCGACGTTCGGTGATAACACTGTCTAATTACGTCGCTTCACACATAAATTTTTGTTATACAAATATATATATATATAGATTGATAAATTATATATTTCCTAGAAAGAAACGATTTTACATAGAGTGTAACGCGCTCCAGTAATTTAGGCAAAATTCAGCATTGCGATTATTTATATGCTTTCGTATAAATGCAATTCCCCTCTTATCGAGAAATAACGGAAAGATTGCGTCCATAGAGTCCCGGTATAAAACCAGAAGACATTATCCTAATTCTAAGAATGTCAGTCTTGAGAGACGAATAATTAAATCATCTACCGAATACTTTTACTTATTATAAAATTAACATATACTAGAGAATTTATTTGATACAAATTCAATGTAAAAAGATCAGTAAATAAATACAAAAAATAGTTCCAAACATTTCCACGTACTTGGGTCAGGAATGTATGTGCATATCTCTCCTTTAAACAATCTGTCTTTTTTTTTAAACCAATATTCAATTTCATGGAAAGAAACAAAACTGCACAGGCATTGCTTAAATATGTAATATTATACATACTATACAATCGTAGAATACAAAATTATTCTCACGGAATGTTGCATAAATGCTAAGTATTCGGCATAATACATTTTAAGTCTATACGAATGCTTTCACTGAACTGTATTCTACAAAATATACGCGTTTTATAAAAAGTGTTCTAATTAGGTCCACGTAAATAACTGCTTGGAATATTGTAAGTAAGATTGGACCGGTCTACTGGACGGTACCTTCGATTGACCGCTCATTGGCAGAGAGTGAAGCGTCATATAATAAAACCAACATGCCATTTCGCGTGCAAGCATAGATCTGCCTAACAAATTGAAAGCGAAATCTGATATCTTTCTGTTATTAAAATTAATATATGAATAATTGAATGATTAAAACTATTTAATAACTTGAATAACCACGTGGTTATTTTGAAATTATATAAATAATATTAATGATACAATTTGTATGTGAATATGTTAATATTATTAAAATGACGCCCCATTAATAATTTCGATAAATAGCAAACTAAATTTTCACCTGTGCGCAACAAATAGCAGCCTAAACGAGTTTGCTTGTGTCAGTCAGTAAATTATCCGATTTTAATGTAAATTAGCGTTACACTTTACGGGCACGTACAAATCGAAGGGTATTGGAAGCGAGGAGTGTGCGTATACATATTTGAAATATCGCACAAACGATGCGGCAGTCGGATAGATAATTGAGCGCTGAAAATTCGCATTTATTGCATATATATCGCATTATCACGAAAGCGTTAAATGATCTTTGTGGAAGGCGTCTTCGTTCGTGCGAAGTCGCGTTTTTTATTTTATTCCTGATTATACATCAACCCCTCAGCAATATGTTAACTTTTATCAACAGAAATTTTGAAATAATGATGAAATAAAAATCTTTAGCAAAATCGCGAAAAAGCAAAATATCTTTGACAAAAAGATCGGAAACAATACCAAATAAATTTTTATTATTTACAAAAATAAAAAAGATACGGGTATTCGATTGTTCCGATGACATTTAAAGGATTTTATTTGAGTCTCGGTTGCTCGGATAAAAATCTCCGAAGAATCTTTAAGAATCTTGATTATTTCGTTGTCGAGGATTAACAAGTTCCTCGCTAAGAGAGAGAGAGCTTCCTACGGAAGATACGTGTGATGAACGAGATCGCATTTGAAATAGACGTTGTTCGATTCCCTGATCGCTCGATGTTGAACATTCGCGGCGTGAGATGCATAGGTGAGACGGTTCACAATCGCGATTCAGAATACAATTCGGCGACAATCAATAAATTATCCCGATACCGGGTACGACGTACGTACATTCGCTTCGTTAACTGTCGGACGCGCGCAGCACTTTCCCATAGTGTTAAATGGAACGTGCATCGGTGGTTCTTGCAATACTCGCCGAATGCATCCGGGGATTACGATCGCGTGTATATACGGTGGTATCGACAGTCGAAGCTGGTTCTCGGCCGCTAATCGACCTCCGGATCGAGTGAGACGTCGAGCTACACGCGGAGAGCACAATTCAAAATACAAAATTACAAAAATATACTCGTGGCGCCGTAACGACCGGACGTGCCGTGCTAGCTTTTCCATCGCGTACAACATTTACAATATGAACAGTGTATGGATATAGGGTGCAGTCGAAAGAGAGAGAAAAAAAAAGAGAGTGTATGTACATGGCATGGCACGATCGGTCGGGCAGGGCGATCCGCGACTTTGCTAGGCCGCTTAAAATACTGTCCAACGTTCTCTCCAATCGTGCGAGCTCGATTTTTTGTGTACGTCGATGTACGATCTTCATCGGGTGAAATAGTGATACAAGTCACGAGAAAGGAGAAAAAGGCGCAAAAATTAATATTTCGCGCATAATTCGATATCGGAGAAAACGGAGACGAAAACATCGCCGTCAGTTGGCACTAGCCCACGAAAAACTGGGAACATCGTTTAAGCTGTCGCGATACGTTACGAATAAATATGCGCCGATATAAATCATCGGGTTCGTCGCTCGTCGATCGCAGCGAAAAATCGAGGCGACACGACCGCGTCGTTATTTTCTCCGTCACGTCTCACCCGGGCGGTTGCCTTCTTTGCGCTCGAAACTGCAGTCATCGAGCGCTTAATACTGTTCGGCATAACGTGGGCACGAATAAAGCTCGGTTTTTATATCGGCGACCGTCACACACTATGCTTTTGAATCTCACATTCGGGACAACTGTCACATCGAGAGAGAAAAATGTAAAGAATAATCTTAAAAAGGGGAAGCAAAATAAAAAAGAAAACACGGAAAAGGTTAAAAAGAAGTTATTCCCCGAAATATTAAATTCGATATATTGCAGTATATTTATAACTATAATATTATAAAATAAAAAATAAAAGGATTTGTCTCAGAGAAAATGTAAAATGATAGATGCTACAAATTTATTTTTCGCATAATAATATTCATGTTTAAGTAATTTGTATTTTAAAAGAAATTTAATTAGTATCCAGAGTACCGAGGTATTTAATATCGAAATATTAATATTATCGCGGTAATTTTCTCATACAATTGTACAAGGAAAAAGCGACCAATCGATTCTCTAAATCTGAAGATAAAGTACGATACACTTCCAAGGTACTCCGTATATTGCGACACAATCCCGCGTAATACATTTATGGAAAAGGATTCGGCGTTGTTTTGTTTGAACAGTACGGATGTGAAAGACAGGATGTCGGACTGATCGAGAGCGTCCTTTGGATTCAAGCATCGTTCGACAGTAAGTCAAGTTTGTGCGCAGGATTCATCGGAAATACATCTCCCCCGACTACTCGGCACTTTGTTACGGAAAACTGCCGTACCGCGCAATCGCAACAAGTTGTATACAATCGCGTCCGAAAAATCCCTGCTAAAGCCAGAGAAATAGAACGTTAATCTCCCGGATAAAAAGGTAACAAAAGCATAAAGAGTGGGTAGCTCGTCGGCGATAAATTCGCAGTTAAAGAACGTTCTCTACCTACCTACGCTTACCCCGGTGAAATATCACCTACAGGTGAAGCGGCGGTCTTTGTGTTGGTGTGTAAGCACGTAAGCACTCCTTATCACGATGTATAGCAGCTTGATGCCTCGCGCGAAAAACGGAAACAGCAAATCGACAGAATTAACCCAGCATGGAAGATAATGGAAGCAAGTGGGGACGATCTGTATTCATATCGCGAAAATCGCATCGCAAAAAAAAAAACAAGAAAAGAGAAGACGAGGCAAGCTCGAATGAGTTCCCCGTCAAAAAGGCATTAACTGCGACGAAAGAAAAATGCGCGCCGGCTGTGTGTGCGCGCGACAATCGCTTCGACAAGTCACATGTTTTCTAGTTTCAAGAAGAGACGATTTATCGGCCATCAGGTATTCCGGACCATAAGTCCGTTCGTTCGTCGATGATATATAGCTCGCATGGACGTTCTACTTCGCGATATATTGTCATCGATGGTAGAATTGCAGCGATCGCGCGTATCTCAAAATAGTGACGCGTTGAATTCTACGTTTACGACACGTCGTAATATCCCATCTTTTTAAATCATGTCAATCTAACATTTATCCGCATTCCGCGATGTCCCTTTTCATTCGCAATCGGTGAGTTGCATATGTTTGCTCCGGTCAATGATTCTTCGCGTAGTAGAGATATTATGCGCAATGCTGCAATTTTTAATAATTGAAGTTTGTTATTGTTGCTAATTGAAACGCGCGTTCAATTAATTTGGAATTCCGAAATAAATTTGAATCAATAGCAGAGTATATATACATTAAACTGGTCATTTTTGTTATAGCTAATATGATTGTAGTGGCAAAGATCAATTGGACAGCGACGCCAAATTAACCGCAATTTCCGAAATATGCTGTTATTATGATCACTCGTTTATTCCGACGATAGTTGATTATACGAACTCCAAAATCACGATATTCGTTAGATAGAAATAGACGTTAGTTATGTACGTTTTTTGGTTGCACGCCGTCTTATCGTATTTCATAATACATTTGTTCTTACAAGCTCAAACATACGTTTGAGTGTCATCGCACTTACATCTACTTTAGGTTTATACATTACTGTAATAGAGATTTATCCGTTTAATACTGTTATATTACGTACTGCGTTAACGATATCTATCAATATCTTCTCCGATTTTAATATACATGCCTCTTACGTATATTAAGATACATTGAATAGAATAATTGTAACAATAGATTGACAAAATACTGCAGTTTCCGATTCAAAGTATACGGAGTAATGTCAATTTGCTGCTATAATTATCGCAAGCGATATTTTTCGACGATTAAAGATATCAAATGTCGTTAACAGAGTACGGGATATCTCTACGAATATTCGATGTAACGATGCTCTTACAGAGGGAAAAGGGACATAGATCGTTACGCACGCCATTCGATATAAGCTGTTCGAGAGTTCGCGTCGCATGAGAATGCAACGGTCTTGCTAAAATTTGATACAAGCGTCGGAATTTCGACATTAAAAAAGAAACGCGACAGGATGACATGTAACAGCTATATAATTTCTTAACAATGTTAAATTCTCATTACGTTTTCCGCATAAATGTAACATGTGCAAAACGTTGCTTGTCTGAATCTTAACACTTCCATTTATATTGTACATGTGAATCGTATCGAAACGATCGCGGTTTTCCATTGCGGATAGAAGACGAATTCACTGATATCGCTCTTGACAGAACGATTTGTGTTCAGCTCTTGCAGCAGTTGCTTCTTGTTTCGCATAAATTTCATACAAAACGCGAACAGGTTTCGCCTTATCGACTAAGCCGGCAACAATGTGTCCGGAACATTATTCACTTTATCACGTGATCACCTCACCGCGCATAGCTAGCGTCAAATAAGAAGCTAAAGGAACTCGACAAAAATGAGGAACGGGAAATTGACACCCATCCATAATCGGATCGTTTAAAAATGATTCGTATGGATGATACGGTTCATTGGGTTTGAATATTTCGGATTCTCTGCAGCATATCAATAAATAATTTACAAAATAATTTACAGGAAAGAGGAAAGGGAAGAGATAACTTACAGGAAGGAAACAGGTGACACAATTGTCCAATCGCCGTGTATTCTTAACGTCAGTGGTTCCGGCGAGCCACGCCGTTGTCTTCCCGAGTCGCCTCATGCCTCGTTCATCTTTCAGATGACTGCGACTCACTGTATGAAATGGAAGTTCCACGCGCGCGAAATACGCGTTTCGAAAGGCACTACCGGTTTATTGTAAATGTGGTCGCACGCTCCCCATCATGGCGTACTACGACCAATCGTCCTCATTGCGGACGATATCCATGATATCATACTTCCGTGCCGTCTTCTCCCTCGTCCTCGTACAACGTCGGCCCGTTGGCGGATTTCTTCTTGGGCTTCGGCGGCGGTCTAGGCGGCACTTTTCTACCGAGGGTATTGCTAGCGGTAGCTTGTTGCTGCTGCGTCAGTAGCGAATGACCGCCGTTCATGCTCTCGTCCGGCAGCTTGATCGGCCACTCGGCTGCGCCTTCCGGGGCCGCCCGGTCCAGCGGACTGCCGGTCAGGATGTTCGGCGTGCTGCGCTGAATCGTACCGTAGTGCGAGCCGCCCGGCGTGACCGGAAGTGGCCGACCTCGCATGGACGAAGACGCCGGTTCCGGGCTCTTGTTCAATGATAACATCGAGCTGCCGTCCGCCGTGGTGCGCAGCCCAAGATTATCGTATACCGGCTCGAGGATATCGGTGGGCGACATCGGGGGTCCGCTACTCCAACTGGGCGCCCGCGGTCGACGCGGGATCGTTACATAGCCGTGACGCGGCAATACCGGTGCCATCGACGACGAAGACGACGACGGTCCGAGGCCGTACGGCGTTACGCTGCGGCTGTGTGGCAACGTCTTGAAGGCGGCTGGATGGTACTGGCCAGGCGGCGGCGAGCCATATGATGATGATGCCGCCGCCGCCGCCGCCGTCGTCGTCGTCGTCGTCGCCGTCGTGTGCTGATTAGGCAGACGCGTGCTGTCAGGCGCCGTCGACGTCTGGCTAGTCGGCGATGCGCCGCGACCGCCGGAGAAGGCCAGCAGATCTGGTGGATATTGTCGATGATGGTAACTGGCACCCCCGCGCGGCAATGTGCCGCCGGTACCGCCGCTTCCGTCGAGTTCCGGAGTAGCCAGTTCGTGCTCCCTCTCGTCGTCGCCTACCCTGTCGACGACACCGCTCCCGACACCGTCAACTGCGAGAACATGAACAAAAGAGAAGGACGAACGTTAAAAAAGAAAATCTAACAGTAAGAGGTTGAGAAAAAGAAAAACGGGGAAAAAAAATTCTACGCGAAAGATCTGTGAGACGCAGACGCGCGCGGCAAGGTAGCATCGCCAGAACATTGTCTTATTGTTACTAAGATACTCACACGAAAATTGACGTGACATTATTCTTGACGAGCGCGAACGAGTGCTTTTGAATCGGATTAGTCGTGATACGATCGCAACCGTGAGCGCGGTTCATTAACTTGATCGAAAAATGCAACTATGTTGCACGAGCAAGGTCGTTGGTCAAGCGTAACGTTCGGCAATATATCGTATCACTGTGAGGATCGTATGACATTTATAAACTTCGAAGATTTTACAAGATTCGAATCTCTCGCGTTATTGTGCAAGTTGTATTTTTTTTACAGTGTTTTGAACGATATATAATTTTATATCGTTAAGATATCTTTGATATTCCAATAATATCGCATACAATTATCTGCATGATTTCGTCGAAAAATATTTTTATTAATAATGCTCGCATGTTGATATACGCAAAACAATCTTGGTTAATGTTATTGTCGTCATTACTTGTGCAATTATATCGTTTCAATTATTTACTATGCAATTCATAATTAACATTCTCACGTTTAAAAATAAATTTAAAAATTTGCCCTATATTTGCTCTTTCTCATATCTACGAAAAATATTCCTAGACGATAATGATATCAATAGTTGAACGCGGATAACGAATATCTTCGCACTGTCACAGCACGACGTTATATTCAGAAATACTCAGTGTATCATAAGCGTCCCTAACGGATCTTCATTAGTGTGCTAGCTGCCATTTGGCAAATTCTCCTTACCTTAAGATCAATGGCACCTGATTAAACCGTCGGACATTTCTCGCATTACGGTCCGCGCGCGCTTGACACGAAACAAATCGATTTATAATTACACATACACACATACGTACAAACACGCACACGTTATTTATACATTATAGTATAAGCGACGTATATTGTCTCTCGTCTCCTCGTGGGGAAAGAATATTATTTCAATGAAACGATCAATGTTATTACGCGAGCCATTAAAGTCTCTTATCGACTGATAATTTTTGATTTTCGATCAATGTCCGCAAATGGGCGCGCGTTTCGAGATTTGTCAAGTCTAATGTAAGATAATCTCTCGCTAGCATCTGGCCGCGCACTGTTTAGTAATATAAGCTGTGTACTGACCGAAGACGGAATCGTTGTCGAGCAACGTGCGATTCAGCTCCGTCATCTCCGTGCCGTGCGACGTCACTGATGGTGCCTCGTAGCGTCTCGGCGGCTTCACCACCGGATTAATAGTGGTGATCAGGGATTTCTCCTGCTCGCCGAGGCCGTGATGTTCCAAGGACGCCGCCTCGAGACTCTTCTCGTCGTGCCTGATCCGGCGACGCCGGCAGTAGCACACGCAAAGCACTATCGCGATGATCAGCAAGCATAGCGCGGTGACGCCGAGCCCTATGGCGAGTGGCAGGCTGATAAAATTATCCCTGCTGCCCGGCGCGTCGCCTGTGACGGTCAGGGTCACGTTCTTTTCGGTGTCGCCGCCCGGGCTCTTCGCGTGGCAGATGTAATCGCCCTTGTCGGAGGGCGTCACGTCATGAATAGTGAGATTCAACCAATCGTGGCTCGCTGACAACATGTAGCCTCTCTCACTATTCGGGCGTTTGGCATTTTTGTCTAAAACACGGGTACGATGCGTCCATGATAACTGAAACAAATAATCGTATGTGATATATTTTATATTGCATAAGTAATGCTAAAAAATGAATGATACAGGAATCGCTAAATAAAATCTGCAGGATATTATACAAATAAAATCGCATTAAACTATAGATTCTTAGAGTAGAGCGAAATCTACGATTAGTTTAACATTTCCGAATGATTCCGGCGGCATCTGTACGTAAGTGTAATTACCTGAGGACGTGGGATTCCCGTTGCTCTGCACGAGAAGGTCACCTCTCCTCTGCTGCTCGTTTCGATCTTGGTCTTCGGGCCGATGGTGATGATTTTCGGTCTACACGCAAACTCATCGCTGGTAACTTCGTCCCACATCTTGCCGGCCATGTTGGGCGGTTCCTGGCAAGTGGTTGGCTTTGTGTATAACTTTCGTTCGATCGTCCAGTCGCGAAATCTTTTGAGATGGCAGTTACAATTCCACGGATTATTCTGAAGTTCGAGGCTGCCGAGTTTAGGAAGACTCTCGAAGCTCTGCAGTTGCAGAGTAGTAAAGTTGTTCCCGTCGAGCGCGAGGGAGTGCAAACCCGGTAGATTGCGAAACGTCTTCTCATCGATGCGCTCCAATCTGTTCCACGACAATGCCACTTTTTGCAGAAAGGTGAGATTGAAGAACAGACCGTTCTCAAGAACCCTCAATCTATTTTGATTGAGTAACAACACACGCAATCGTTGAGTCTCGTAGAAGGTGCCGGGATGTAAACTACGGATATTGTTGCCCGACAAATCGATCTCGATGACGATCTTCAAGCCATTGAAAGCGTTCGTGTGAATCGATTCGATGCCGCATTCGCGCAACACCAATTTATGCAGATTCACTAGGTGGACGCGACTGAACGCCTCGTGTATGAGATGAGTCATGTGATTGCCGGTAAGATCGAGATTCTGAATCTCGGGCGAGAGGTCCTCCGGCACCTGCGTGAGATTTTGCTTGGTGCACTCGGCGGTCTTCTTGCCGGACACCCATTTGCATTTGCAAGTCGACGAGCACTGCATCCAGTCCTCTTGGCCTTGACACAGGGCGACCATAAACGCAGCACAGAGCAACCACCGGCCTGTCGTTCTCGGTCCCATCTTGAGGAATCCTATTAACAGCGGAAACGTGCGCGATGACATTAGAACGTGACTGCGAGACCGCAATCGTAGAACTTATTTAGTTAAACGGAGTTGCATACGACGAGACGAGGTGTTTCGTCTTATGCAATATTATATAAAGATAATATATGTAGTGTAACTTAATATTCATCAACGCGACCGACTAGTTTTGTATTTCATGCGTATTCATCATTATTGATAGTTGAACATGAATGTATAGATCATTAATTATACGATCGAATAGTTATATTACATACGAGGAATTAATTATTACCGAATAATATGCGGGTGCTTAATAATTTTGAATAATTTGTATGCGATACAAATATCCGGCATGCTATTTGACACTTTTGGTTAATATACGCTGAAATAATTGTTCGTACCGAGCAAATTACGCGGTTACGTAATGATTTTATGCTGATGTAAACATCATCATATGTTTTTAACGCGAACGATTGTAAACGCATTGTGCGCGGCATGTGAAATTATATATTATGTTATATTTTATAGAATGTCTGTGCTCGATTTTCGAGTCTCGCAGATTCGGATATGTTTAACGCGCTTCGAGCGATATGCGTAGGGCGTTAAACGCACCGCTGTTCTTACGGTGGCATACGTCATTACACAGCACAAGAATGTTTCGTGGTTCGCTATACGAGACTAAACTCGACTTTCCATGTTATCGGAGAAGTCTGACTGTGTCTGAGGCAGTTTGGTGTCATCAGAGACCTCCGGGATTTTCTTCGTTTCCACGGCCGCCTCTGTCTTCCTCTCCCCCTGTATTCCCGCGAGCTTGCCTTTCTCTTTTATTTTTTGTTAGTTAACCTCGCTAATTTCCGAGAATCCCGGGACACCCTACCGAGGACTGTTGGCAATTTAGCTTTAATACCGTTACAGCACTCGTACTCTTCAACGTGTAGTGTCGCGTCGACGCGTTTCGCCAAAGTTAAATTAATACAACGCAGCGACTAGAGTACGCCTCAACCCTTTTATTATCGCTGTGGAGTCCGAGATTGTGCATCAAATTAGTCTTCCCGTCGACGAGCACAACCCATCCCGAGTCTCTCTACGAGTTAAATCAACGAGAAAGAAAAGATACCCGAGCTACGCAATATCGTGCAAAGCTTGATAAAAAAAATTTATCTCGGAACAATATGAAACGGTTTATCTAGAAGGTTTAGATAGAATATGATACAAATTCTGATGCGAAGTAATTCGTTTATTTCAATTATTCTTTTATTTACTACGTTTTTCAGATTGCGTTTCTACATTACGCAAACTTTTTCAAATATATATTTGGTTGAGCGAAATTAAAACGACTTGCGGGAAAGACGAGAACGATTATAAATTAAACACGATTCAAGGATCCGTTCGAGGATTGCTAATGAGTGTTATAGCAGATTAATTGAAATCGAATAACGTTTCGAAAAGTACAAAGCAAACGGCAAATTAACGTCAAGAAGACGTATTTGTTCATGCTGAAGATCGCACCGGGACCTGTCGGGAAACTTGTTTCGACGTTTGCGCCGTTGTAGATTTCCGCTAACTTTTCACATATACATGCTTCGCGCGGTCGACTTTACTTCTCAGTGCCGCGAACTTTTTGAAGTCTCTATCCACAAAGAGCGGCCGCGGTCGCTGCACTTGCTTACAATCCTGGCACTTTATTGTTGTGGCCGTGAGAGGAGTTCTTTTGAGCTCGATCGGTGGTCCAGCTCCGGGATCAGAATAAATGTGTACCGAGCGCATCGTTCTTTAAACCTGTCACATACATATCAGTTCAGCCTTCCTTTTGTCAGCGGCTTTAGATTTGAAGATAAAACAGCGCTCTTTGAACCAGAACATGCTATTCGAGATGTATTGCTTATGATGTATGCGAAGCGTTTTCTCTTCTTCGCGGAATATTCCGAAAAAAGCAGTTAATATTATGCATGTAAAACGAAGATACTAAAGGATAATACTCGTATGATATTGTATACGTCGATTTCTCGTCTCTTCCTCTTTCGCGACGGCGGTCCTTTCCCTCGATCCTAGTCTTGTATCGATCGACCGCATTTGACTTGTAAATGGCTAACCAACCAGAGGACGTTAGATATGGAGAAAGTGAGGCGCTTGTATACGGCTCGAAGCGGCTTTTAGCCCAGATGAACGATAGACGGGCAAGACGAGTGTCCTTTGGCAGCGCGTGTACCGTGCCGGAAGGAACCTCCCACCCGTCTCGTCGCGGAAATGCGGAAGTTGCTTGACGCGGACGTTGTGCGTGTGTCCGACACGTTCGTGTACCACGCAACAGGGAGAGTAAAAAAAAACACATCGATGCAGAGAAAGAAAGAGAGGGAGGATCGACTTTCCGCGAGGTGGAATTTCAAATTCGAACACCCTCTATCAATCAAGAGCACTCCCGGAGGGTTACGGCAAGTATGCCCTGTTGCTCCTACACAAATTTCATCAATCATGCGAACCAACACACCAGAGGCAGTGGTTATCCCGTCGGATCTCCCTGCGCGTCCTATATTTTTGCGCATAAAGTAAGGTTTCGCGAAATACACGAGCGACCGATGATTGGCGGATGTAACGATCGGTACGGCGAGTGTTAGTGGGCGAATATCGCGATATTTACAAATGACTTTTGAAAGTGCTCGTTACGATGCAGCTTTCGCTGCGGAAGCGACGCGTAAATATGGGGGCATTTATATATATATAAACAAAAGTTATATTGAATATATTTTAGCGCTAGTTGATATAATACCTATTATATATAACGTCGTTGCAGTTTCGAGACGATGCGTCAGAAAACGAGGGCAAAAAAAAAAAAAAAAAAAAAGAAATAAACAAAAAAACGTTCGGCGTCGAAATGGGTCGGGAGAGGCGCCGTGAACCGTGCCAGATCTTTTCTCATGAAGCGGCCTCGTATTAATAGGATGCAGATTACTGTAAACGATTCGCAGTCGCGTGAGTTTTCGGGAACTTCGTGTTTTCTACGCGAAAGCATTGTTGCGATTTAATCTGTAATTTGCGAGGAACTGGGAATACGCGCAACACCTTCCTTGCCTCCGACCGGTGGAAACTTTTTCCCGACGGAAACAAGGATTATTGAACGACGACGACGAGCCACGCGGCCATCTTACGAGAATATCAAAGAAGTTATGGCGGACGGATTTATACTACATGTTATATGTACTTTGAGATAACGCTCGAAGCACGGATGAGCGCGGACCGGGACTTAGACGAGAAAAACGTTCATGTATAGCGCGCTCCATTGAAACTTCTTCGAGAGTCAGTAGTTGGAAGCGCTTAAACGTAATAACGAAATAGAGCGAGCAACTTTTTGTTAAATTACCGGGACGTGATACAAATGGCCGTGAGGCGAGAAGGAGAATTTCGTTTTCGATGTAATCGCTTTGTACAAAGTGGATTTAAAGTTATTATTGTGACCTCCGGCTTGACTTTGTTACGAAACATTGTTTAAGTAAGAATCTTTAGTCCGCGGTTTGCTCATTATTATTAAGTGCGTTTTACATTTGTCTACATTCTAAATATCTTACAGTGAAATCTGCCGTGAATATATATAGAGAAATACAATAATTTTATCTTTAATCTTTTTAATGAAATAAATTAAGGTGCGGAATAGAAGAGATTTATTGAAATAATAATAATGCATTGATTATGTATGTCAAAATAAAAATATAAAAATAAAAATACGATAATAGAGAATCAAAATAAATCAACATAAAAATGCATAAATTTTTCTCTTTTCTATAACATTTAAAGAAAAAGGAATTATTATTTTCATTTTCCTTTATTCTCAAATCTACGAATTAAATGACATCACACGTATACATATATAAATGACAAATTATAATTAATTAAGTCGTATCATCTGGAATCATCGAGACTTTATAATTCATTGAAAACATAAATAATGAACTGATTTAATGTGTTTGTCTGGAATCAGATTTATTTATTCAACTGATCCAATTATATCACACAAAATTACGCGTATTAAACAGGTTGTAGACGATCAATCCCCTCAATAAATATTGACCAAGCTAAGACCAGACAACGCATCGTGAATTATACTATGAATATCAACGTCACGATGTATGTAGTACAACATATGATGGTATAATAACACATGACTTTATATAATGCTTTATTGAAGAGAGCTGATTTCATCGTAATCTATAATTTCGATTTGCACAAGTAAACGAATTTACTTTGATATTTAGTTAGTGCAGTGTTAAATCGGTTCCATAAAGTGCATTTTCCGTGAATTATCGTGGGGTGTTGTTTTCATTATGCCGGGTCACCGTGGGACACGACGGGGGCACCATGGTAATCGACTTTCTAATTATAAACGCGGGTACTCGCGGATAGGGCGCGTGAACTCTTGACCGAGGTCACTTTTTCTCGATAAGTCGTTAATAGTTAATTAGCAGAGAATAAGGACAGAGTCGTTAGCCGATTCCATCATCGACAGCCGTAGAGTCAGGAATTGCGAACGAATTAATGATTGTATTTGTAACAGTCCATCAACACGCTATTATTTATCGGGAATATGAATAGACTGTCTGTGTGTGTGTGTTATCGCACGCGACGAGATATATGGAGAAAATTTTAACTGCTATTAATATGTTATAAGCACAAACGTGCAAAAATATACATTGTATGATGATTTGTCTGACATTTAAAATAAGAAATCATATACATTAGCGTTCATGAGATATTGAAAAATTTATTATATCCATTATCCCGATTCGCTGGATTCATATTTATCTCTATGAAATCTACATATAAACATATAAAAATTGTATACAAGAACTAGTTGAGCAAAAATATGCACTGCGTATCTTAAAGAACTTAAAGAATGCCCGATGTGGTTCTTACAAGCTTATATTATAATTCTGGGATATAAACACTACATTATTCGATGTGTAACGATCGTGTATATGTTTACAGATGTAATATCTCACGTTCCTTAGAACGAAACAATTTTCTATATTAATGCAGATGTAATTAACGTACAGGAAATAGAATAGGGCATATTGATAGAGATGTTACATTGATATGTACTTGTCGCATTCACGGGCTTCGTAATGTACTTTTGTATAATCAGATTCCCCATCCTCTTATGAAAGGAAGATCTGCTAATCAATATACATATACATACACATGGGTACAGTGCAATTGCTATCTGCGGAATATGATTAAAATTTCATTGAATATCTTCCGCATCCATTCACAGAATACAATTTACTTTAATGTTGTTGTTTAACGATTCAAACTGATGGAAAGATAAAGAGAAAGTTTTATTTCAACTCATCTTGATCTGCAAACTTTTACTTTTAACTTTCATCTTCTTGTTTCACAAAATACAAGGTGTATCCGAATTAAAAATTATTGTACTAACGTGAAAAAACATATAAAAAATAACGTTTCTCCTCCGTAGTTGATATTTTTCTCCTTAAGAAAAAGAATTTTATACGGTCGTCAAGAAGAGATTGTTAAAACAATTCTTTTAAACCGGCTTAACTTTCTTTTGTCAAGTATCTCTTTGAACGGTCTGTTGAATTCTTTTATGTCAAAGTTTAATCTTAAACATACTTGCAAAAATTATAGATAAGTTTTGCACAAAAATACAATTTCGGAAATAGAAACATTCGATGGTCAAAGATAGAATAGCAAAAGAAGAAGGATGAAATGACCATATAAAATCAACATGAGAAACGTGAAAAATATTTCTCTTTTGCAAACTTAATTATAGAGTTGAAAGTCACATTCAGATTTATTATTTTCTCTGACAACATCTTTATTATGTGTGTATGTATACGTGTGTGTGTGTGCGCGCGTATATGTATGCGCCAATAAATCCTTGTTTTATTAATTAAAAAATACCATGTACAATAAAGTGTGCGACTTGAAATAATGATATTGTATTGCACTTGATAGAGTACATGTGCGTATACTTATTACACACACACACAACAGTGTCAATGTAATAATTCCAATATTCAGTGAAAGAATGTTTAAAGCTAAAATAATGTTAAACATTCTAAAAACATATTAAAACATTTTTAAAATAAAAAGTTTAAAGTATCTCTTTAAAAATAATTAATGCCTGTTTTTGATACAATCGATACGTGATGCAACAATTATGCGATACGATCGAATTTCGATAATTACAATGTAAGAAAGAGTAACTTTTACTATGTTTATATTTTTTACATTAAAATAATATTAAAATATTTTTAAATAACTAAAATAATATCAATCCATTTAATTAGTGTTTAGTTAGCTCTTTCAATAATATTTCGAAAGAAATCGTCAATATCGTATCAATGTGATAATTCATGACATATGATTTGTTACGTTCTTTCGATATTTATCTAATCTCTATGTAGTGTCTAGTGTCTGCTATCTTCGATAAACCTCAGCTGCATTATTCGGAAAGTTCGAAGTTCGACCGAATATTTACAGGCCGTGTGCCGGGGACCGCGAAATTGCATAAACTTTTCAAATAAGGCCGAATCTTATAAATCTGCGGCCAAGAACATTGTCCGCGAAAGTTCGATGCCGCGCCGCGGGGTTATTAACTTCGGGTCACGCGAAACTATCAGAACATCGTCAAAGTCGTTTCCGCATTTTCACACGCCGATGCGAAAGACCAATTCGTGAAACTCACCTCCCGCATGTGACAACTTTGTTCTCGCTCCGCGTGGCCGATTAGATCGTGCATTCACAACACAATTACAATATCATTACATTTTGTCGTCGCAGAAGGACCCGTCTAGGTACTACGTTTTAATAGTCAGACTTATTCCGTATATAAAAGGTGTACAAGTATAGCAGAGAATTATACGGGAAATATATCTATGTACTCCCTTTTCTCTCTCTCTCTCTCTCTATCCACGAAGCTTAAAATAAAATTCTCAGTGCTAAACCCGTTATCGGTTAAATGTATATTTTTTGCAACAAGTATTATGATCATAAAAATTCTCAACGCATATATATCATGCGGAGATAATTAAAAATTATTATGTAGCAGAATATATTGCAGCTTGATAAATATGTGTTGTTATTTATGAAAATACTCGAATATCGTACTTTTATCTATGTAATATTTGAGCAATCATATCCTTCTTCATAATAGCATGGAGAATATTACTTGTGTCTAATAAAAAATAATCATACGTGAATTTATTTTACAAATGACGCTCGTCGTTTGCAATTTCGAAATACCGTTAGAGAGGGGCTTTATGTTTTTTGTCCTTTGCGGGCCTTTAATCTTTCGATATCGAGATGGATGTTTTGTTGTATTGAATGGTCCGGCCAACGAAAGATTTAGCTTTTTCGGTCTTATGATACATATCTATCTATCTACTCACAAGGAGTCAGAGAACCTCATCTTGATTACCTTTTTCCCTTTTTCTTTTGTGCTTTACGAGAGCTAGATAAATATGAGAAATTCTCTGGTGTCATTATAGTACCATCAGTACAATAACTTTAAGAAAATGAAAATGTGAAAATTGTCAATGCTCTCTTTCATGTTTTCTTTTTCTTTCATCTTTTTTTTTTCTATTGATATCAAATGCCGAAGGGCAGTATCGATTATGAATATCGCTATTGTTCATCTCGTTGTCGTGTTGTAATGACTACCTAGTTCAACAGTGCTTTATCATTTGACTTAAAATTGATATGACAAATACGACTTTTGAAATTAGATGCGCTCTTTGCTAATATGACGAACATGAGCTTATGGCTACAATTCATTATCGATTCAGACAAATAAAGGTATTAATCGAAAGATAAATATCAGTTAATATGTTACATATTACTTTTTTAAAGGAAAAGCAAATAGTAATACAATAATTTCACAGTATTCATTATCAATTATATTTGATGAATAACCATAGCTTTACGCCCGCAAATATAGTCATTTCATATCAAAAAATAAACTTATTCCTTACAAAAAATTGATAAAGTTTAAATACCATTAATGTAAAAAAGTCAATAAAGTCATTAATTATTGCAGCAGTAGAAGATTAATAAAATAAATATTAATAATTTGTGTAACATGTACATATATAATCTACATCTTGTCAATCGTTACATTTATATCTAATTTTTTTCCCGATTTCTTTTATTTTTTAGTAGTCGAAATCGATACAAAATTAAACGATTAAACATAATTAGAAAAAACTAATTTGTCAGATCAATAATTATAAAATTAAGGATTTAACTTACGTTCGCTTTGGTCTCAGGATAGTGTAACGTTCACGATTCTCCGAATGCCACTTGAACCAAGGATGGTGCTGGAACAATAAATATCTATTATCATATTTCAAAGATAACAATCGTTAAACCTGATCGTATTATGACGATCAGTATTTTCAATTAGCATAAACGCATACACAATTGATATTCCAAAGCGATATTAAAATTATTTTAACGATGCAGAACTTTTCGTTATTATTATAAATATCGCGCGTACACCGCTATTCATCAAAAAAATATATTTTACGCGATTATATTATGTATATATAACTTTTACATAAATAATAAAATGCATATAAATGCAAATGTATTTAGAATATAATATAATAATGCATTTAAATTATTTGGTACAACGTGCGTTTTGACTGGCAAAATTCGCTACCGTTTGCTTGAAAGCATTGACAAAAACCTAGGGGAACAAAGGATGTGCTTTTCCCATTTCGATAGGAGTCTGTAGAACAGCGAAAACAATCTCCGGTCCCATATACGGTACAGCAAACAACGAGGAATGAAAAAAAACTTTCTGTTAAGGGAAAGTAAACGACGTCAAATCGATCGTTGTCGCGTAAGCCGCTTTTTTCGCCGGTAGTTCTGGTTTAACAATACATACCGGATAACCGAGAAAAAGTGCAATAATCGTTAACTGCGTTTGTTCGAATAACAAAACAAAAAAAAACCGACAAAAATGGCACATGGCAGCCGTTATACTTTATACATTGACAGATACATGGAGATAACTAGGATTCGATATATGTATTTTTAACGATATACAGAACGAGTTCAAAATTAATTGCGACAAAATTTAATTTTGCTGATGGATTCTGCACATGTTTTACAGCAATATATTTACACCTCTTATTTAAATAAAATTTTCGATTTATACATTATTTGCTTTATTTCATTATTCATCGGATTAAGAATACATTTTTTGTAAGAATTCTGCAATGTTTCAAATTTAAAGAAGCTCATTCTATTTACCTGAAAGTTAATAAAGAGTTTTTGTTTAAATTAAATAAAAATCGTTTGTGCAATTTTTTATTTTTACAGGAATTTTTTAGGTTTTATTTGTGTTTTTTCGACTGTTGAAGACAATTTCGGAATTGTATATTAAATTTATAGATCAGATATAAATTATATTATTACAGATAAAAATATACCAATTTTATTTAAAATAAAATACCTAATAAAATTCAGAAAGTTAATTATTAATGATTGTGTCTTTATTCGCGAATATTCTGCTGGACGATAATCATTGAAAAACGATGGACAAAATCCATCGTTTCGTTTCGTATTATTTATTTCATTTGCGCGAGAGAGTAATCATTAATTACGTCCGTACGTTATTTCTATTTCGTGTTAATACAATTTTATATCTGTGGATTAAAACTTTAAAATGCTATGAATTCGTAGATCGCATGTACAAAAGTTAATTAATTCCAGTGATAAAATATACGAGTTGTATAATTTTATTAATAAAATATATTTAATTTATTTTTTATATATGTACGCGTGTGTGTGCGTATGTATGTTTATGTAATTAGATAATTATGTATCGATATATGTAATTCTATATAAAATCCCATCAATGTCTGACATATACATCCCATTTTCTACAATGAGGCTTAAACTTTTAAACTGAAAAAAATTCCGCGCTAAAGACGAAAGCGAAGCCTCGTTTCGCGAACAGCGCAGTTTTCTTTGTTCTCGCTTAATAAGTAAATTAAGTTTCAAAATTAAAGGATAGCTTCTCTGCGTGCCGCGGATCAATCTAATCGGATTGCCGCGATAGCGAAAGGCAAAATATACGAGCACTTTTCCTCATCCCCGTTATGTTTTATATGTTCTCTTCTTTTGTCACTCTTCTTTCTCTCTCAATTTTTCAAATGCGAAACATTCGCGCGGAACGTTGCGCAAGTGCACCGGCTTCTTCCTTGGCTTCTCGCATGGTGGCCGAGAATAATGCGAATTCAATTATTACTAAGACACGGAGGTGAATCGTCGGGAAAATCGCGCTCTCGCGTAGGAAAGTAAAGAAATATTGCGGAGAGAAAGTAAACGCGCGTACAAACGGTCGG